TGATTTTTTTTTTTAAATTAAGTCTCTTCAGCTAGTAATTATAGTTTTGTGTTTTAATTAACCTTATGTAAAATCGTAACAGCAATAATAATGAATTTTCTGTGTAACAGTAAAGTTGGATCATAGTATCTTGCAGATTATAGCACCAAACCTTGATTGTCTCATCACTTTTTTAAACACAGCCCCAGCTGTGTTAAATTTTTAAATGATTTTCGATTTTTACTTTCCAGCACCATTTTTCTAAGGTCTAGTTGATTAATTAATGAAATTCATTAAAGAGCATTAGTGGGATGAGTTTCAAAATGTATCCACTGTGGGAATTAACTACTTGACAAAGGAGTTCAGTGATCTGAATGTGTGGTAACCTCCAAATTTCACCCAATTTGTATCCCTTGGACTTTTACACACTTTCTGTTCTTGTATTTGAGACACTAAATTTAATTGAAGCGTGAGGCAGGTCCCTTGCTTTAAGCCTGTCAAGAAAATGAAATGTTGTCAACTATTTTATAAAAACAAAAGCACTATTTAGACCATTTATGGCCAACAGTCATTTACTTCAAAATGTTAGAACTAGGTTTTATTATAACCATTTTCTGTGACATTTCAGTTCACACCAATGTCAGTGACAATGCACTTCTTGGAATTTATCTGAATGCATATAAGATTTCACTTACCAAATAGCAATCTTTTCATGCTAGCAGTGCACACGCAAAGTTCTAAATTATTATAAATATGCTTTTCAAACTGCCTGCAAATGTCAAAAATCTTCCCTCCTACTCAGGCATTTTTAAAAAAAAAGTGGTTTTGCAAGAGATTGCAATTATGCAATGATGTGAATTCAAAGTGCTGAGTTAGCTTCCTGGAGAGGGGCTTACAATCTTTGGCTTTCATAAATGCCTTGATGTAGACCTTTTCATTATTGCAAAACCAGCAGTATAACTACAACCAGTATTCAGGCCACTTTAATGTCTCTCAGACAAATTGAAAGTCAGATGTCACATTTTCGCGCATTGTTGCATTACATTCAATGCAATAATCATGAATTCAACAAAACTGCACTCTAATTTTCTGTCCATTATTTAGATTATTTGATTTATTTAAAGAATTGTTGGCACACAATTCGTTTTTGCTCTCCCAAGGATATTTCCTTTCCCTATATTCCACTTGCGTTCCAACTACTTTTTCTGTGCTGCTAGTTTCAGATCTCCTGGATTTATTTTCTGGTTAGAAGATCCTGATGCAGAAGTTGCATCTAGCATCAACAAAGTATCTGAATTATTAACAGCAGGAATGATGTTTGGGTTTCTGAAAATGTTGCTTCAAACAAAACTGCAATTTTGCTGGGTGTTTGCAGTGAAGAGCTGGATAAAAGCTCCCATTGGCACTGCTAGGGAAAACCTCTAACTTTCAACCAACAAATAAAATGATTTCTTTATTTCATGGTTCATGGGTTCTTATTGTGTACAAACTCTATGTTTCCCTGCAATTTTAAATTATTTGAGACATTGAGTGGTCAAGACGTGATGCATAAATGCAATTTCTTTCCTTCTATAAATTATATTTTGGGATTTTCAAGCAACTGAGTTTTAAACATGTATGTTGTCCAGTCTGCTTTCAGTTTTATCACACTTGGTCTTGTCTTATCAATGTATGCGTGTTAAGGGAAATTCAAAATAGTTCCCATTATAAAAGGAACTTTAATAAAATGCAGTAGAGTGATTATTTATATAAAAGGGACTCAATGATATTTTGCTATATTAGACATGGCATAACTTATCAGTAACAATTAGTTCTATTTTATTGTAATATAAATAATTATGTGCATCTTAAAACACATTAAAAAGTGGAAGCAAGTTGTACTAAGGTACAAATTGGAAATATTTCTTTGCAGTGTGTATTGATTTTCTGCTCAGTGCTAAATTTATTATAGAGTCATACGTCACGGAAACAGACACTTCCAGCCAACTAGTCCACGCCTATCATGTTCCCGAACTAAACTTGTCCCACCTGCCTGAGTTTGGCCTATATTCCTCCAAACCTTTCCTATTCATGCCTTTATCCAAATGTCTTTTAAATGTTGCAACAGTACCTGCATCCACCACTTCCGGCAGTTCATTCCATACGCTAACCATTCTGTGTGTAAAAAAAGTTGCCCCCATATCCTTTTTAAATCTTTCTCCTCTCACATTAAAAGTATGCCCCTTAGGGAAGTGACCTTTGCTATTCACCTTATCTATGCCCCTCAAGATTTTATAAACCTCTGAAGTCACCCCTCAACCTATTGTTTGGTATTTTCTGTAACTAATTACCCCGTATGCAGTATTTTCTGTACATTTATTTACTGCTTGTCAGTTTGTTTGGAATTTAATGTCTCCACCAACTATTAATGTATCTAGGTATCTGCATTTTGAATAAATAGATTTATATAGTATTCAATATCTGCATGGTGCTTTGATATATAAAGGTGATAAAAATAAAGTGGATGATAAAGTTCCAAGTAATTAAATGTTCATCTAAAATAATTTTGTTTCAGATATTAATTCTGAATTTACTTTCTCAAGCATTGCAATTGTTAAATGTTGTCCCATTTGCATAATTCTTAAATATCTCTACTCAAATCACCCACGAATCTCTGATTCAATGAGAGAGAAAGACACAAACCTCTACATTTTGATTGCAAGAGTGTACAGGCTTTCTAGCACCAAAGGAAAACAAATGTTGGGGAGCAGATTTATTAACAGCAACAAACCAGCCAATGGTTATGCTAGAGCTGTAATATAGCCAAAAGATGTAGTACAAATGTATCCCAAGCAATTGGCAGAAGTACTTAGTAACTCACAAAAGAGAATTTTGACTATACCTAAAGGAAAAAGGTGTTGTCATGGAAGAGGAATGTAACTAATTAAATGACTCACCTAAAGAGCCAGTATAGGCACAATGGGCAAAATAGACTCTTCCTGCACAGTACAATAGTTTCACATTGAAATTGAGGATAATGTTCAGACCCATTTTCTGCCTCTTCTGCCGCAGGGCCAAGGTTAGGGAGGGGAGACAGAAGATACTCGTGTTTGAGGGAGTTGTGTCACAGTATTGGAGCTAGGCTAGTAATCCGGAATCCCAGGCTAACATTCTGGGGACCATGGGTTTGAATCCCACCATGACAGATGGTGAAATTTGAAATCAATAAGAAGTTGGAATTAACATGAAAAAATAGCCTTATGAAAACCTAATGGTGAACATATACCTACTGTCTCTTGTTTTTAAGAAAGAAAGAAAAACCTGTTCATTAATGTCCCTTTGAGACGGCAATCTGTCATCTCCACTTAGTCTGATCTGCCTGCAAGTCCAGACCCGTTGCAATGTGGTTGACTCTTAATAGTGTCTTCCTGGCAATTGGGAAAGGGCAATAGATTTTCTTTTAAAAATTAATTCATAGCATGTGGGCATCATTGGCTGGGTTAGCATTTATTGCATGTCCCTAGTTGCCATTGAGGTGATAGTGAGCTGCTTTTTGAACCTCTGCAGTCAATCTGATATAGGTACCCCCATAATACAGTTAAGGAGGGAGTTTCAAAATTTTAATCCAGTGACAGAAGGAATAGCATTATATTACCAAGTCAGGATCCTGAGTGGCTTGGAAAGGAATACAGTTCTAGTCACATTCAAGTTCTGTTGCCCTTGTCCTTCTTGATGGTAATGATCACAAGTTTGGAAGGAGCGAAGGAGCTTTGGTGAATTTCTGCAGCATATCCTGTAGATGGTACTGCTGCTTCCAAGTGTAAAAGAAACGGGGTGGAGGTTGGTACCAATCAAGCAGGCTGCTTCATCCTGGATGGTTTGGATAAAGGATTGACTAACTTATTCCCCGTCTTCTATTAAGGACAGCAATTCATAACTACTGGATTGGCACAGGATCATTATTATGGACACAATTATGAACAATGTGTATTCATGACTTGGATGACAGAAGTGAAAGGATTATTGCCAAGTTTACAGATGACATAAATAGGTGGGAAGGCAAGTGGTGAGAACGACAGCCTACAGAAGGAAATAGACAGCCTGTTTAACTGAGTGGGCAAAATCTTAGCAGATAGAATATAATGTAGGAAAATGTGAGGTTACATAACTGACCGGAAGACAAAAGGACTAAATATTATTTAATTGGAGAAAGACTGCAGAAAGCTGCAGAGCAAAGATTTGTAGGTCCTTATGCATGAATCATAAAAAGCTAGCTTCTAAGTTCAATGGGTAATAAGGAAGGCAAATGGAATATTTCCCTTTTGGTATAAAATCCATGGAGTATAAAAATAGAGGGATTATGCTAAAACTTTATAAAACACATCATGGAATACTGTGAACAGTTTTGGTCCCTTTATCCAAGAAAAGACATACTAGGTTTGGAAGTAGTCAAGAAGTTCAATAGATTGATCTTGGCTATGGAAGGACAGTCTTATGAGAGGCTGAGTAGGTTAGGCTTATAATCATTGACATTTAGAAGAGTGAGAGGCAAAAATATTGAAACATAAAAGAGTCTAAAGTGACTTGACAGAACAGATGCAGAAAGGTTGTTCCCCCTTGTGGGGAGGCTGGAAATGAATAGCATAATCAAGATTAAGGGGTCACACATTTAAGGCATGGTTTTTTTTTCTTCCCACCCTCTAATTACTGCAGGGGGCTTTAGAAGCTGTGTTGTTCAATATATTCAAGGCTGCGATAGATAGATGTTTAAGCAGTACAGGAAGCAAGGGTCAAGGACATAGGGGTTGAGATTATCAGCCCAGCCATGAACTTATTGATTGGAAGAGCAGAATCATAGAGTTGTACAGCACAGAGAGAGACTCTTTGGTCCAACTCATCTGCACCAACCAGATATCCTAACCCGATCTAATTCCATTTGCCAACATTTGGCCCACCTCACTCTAAACACTTCCTATTCTTGTGCCAATCAAGATGCCTTTTAAATGTTGCAATTGTACCCACCTCCACCGCCTCCTCTGGTAGCTCGTTCCATACACAGCTGCCCTTCAGGTCTCTTTTAATCTTTTCCCCTCTCACCTTCAACCCATGTCCTCCAGTTTTGGATTCGCCTACCTTGGGAAAAGGTGAATGGGTTGGAAGGCCTACTTCTATTCCTATATCTTATTACATGGAAGCAAGACCATTGGTTCAAAGCCAGCATTATGGTTGCATTGGAACAGCTTGGTTAGACTTTTTGTGGAGCATGATCTTCTGTCCTATTGCTGGAATATTGTTAGGTCACAGAGTCTTTACAGTATCCACTGTATTCAACCTTTTGTTGATAGCTCATGGAATGAATCTAAATCGGATGAAGCGGTATCTGTGACGCTGGTACCACAAGGAGGCGGCCAATATGGATCATCCACTTGGCACTCCTCGCCAAAAATTGTTATGAATGCTTCAAACGAACCTTTTGCCCACCTTGTGCTGGGCTCTCACATCATTCAGGATGGTGATAATGTATAGAACATCCCATAAACATAGTAAAAACCTATGCTCACGAAAATTGTACTTCAACCTTGGACATGGAAAGTAATGAATGAAAGTGAAAAATAAATATCTTCTCTGCTCCCTCCATTCAATCCAGAAAATAGAAGGGAGGAAATTGATACATAGTTTTCAAACTCTAGAAAGGTTTTAAAAAGGCAAACAAAAGATTGTTTCCATAGTAGAAGGCAAATGGTAATGTGGATAATGAGGATTACAACAAAAAGAGGAAGCCAGAGGTATTATCCCTCAATCACAAGATTAAAATAATTATTTAAGTATTATAAAGGGATTAGTAGTTTAATTAGCTAACACCAGCATATTAAAAAAAATGTGCTGTTGTCATTGCCTCTAGGTATTTCAGACTATGCTAAGGTCTAGACTGGATGTCATTTGTGGCTGCAGAATCTGATTCAGACCAATAACTTTGGTCTGAGATGGACTGACTGATTTTTCTTTCTGTCCACTGTGATCATTTCTGCCATCTGGTCTTACCCTCAGCATTTTCTACTCTTCCTGACTGCTAGGATCCAGGCACTCGGACAGTAGGAAAGACTTCCGATGCAGCAACTCTGATCCCATTTAACTTAAGTCCTCGCTTGCAGATGTTCTTGTATCATGCCAAAAGCAAGCTCACCATTGAGCATGCAAAACATGCTTTGTGAGAACAGCAGCACTAGGCCTCATGCAAAAAACAAAACAGGGTTTGTGCAGAAAATAAAAATTCTTCTGTGCCAACAGCTATCTAATAGAAACTGCATATATCAGAAACAGGCTGTATACATGATATAATCTAAGCATTCAGATTTGACACAGCATGTTGATTGTTTATAAAAAATACAAAAACCACAACCACCACAGGCATGATTCAATAAAAGATAATTTCGAAATTGAATTGTGTAACATCGGGATTTTGTTTTAAATACACTGGAATATACAAGTATATGACATCCATGCTACCTAAATCCTCTGGTTGTGAAAGACTTTGATTCTTATTTTAAATTTGACTTATTTTTTTTCTGAATTCTATCATTGTTAAACCATGTCTATCAATGCATTAGCGTAAAATAAATATGCTACAACATCTGACAAAATGAAGTACCCCATAGCCTAACTGGTGAGGGCTTATTAATGCATGAACATTAAGTCATACTTACTGTGTGGTACAAAATTCACTTTTTGGCCTGTGCAAAGTTAGCAGGTCTCAGCCAAGGTCAGTTGGGCTCTTATGTTAAGGGATCCAATAACAACAAAAAGGCATGGAAAGAAAATACAGGATTCCTATCTTCCCCGTGATGCCAGCTGTAAAATATGCATGTGGTCATAAGAAGGAACAGATTTGATTTGGACATGACATTTGCCACAGCAAAATAACTTACAGAAACACAAAGAACAGTAATTTAACAGCTACAGGAGGGCAACTGCTTGCCATACCACTGTAAGCTAATACCTTTGAGAGGATAGATAAAAGTAAAATATGACAATTGAATTTTGTGTAACACCTAGATTTTTTCTTACACTGGAATGTACAAGTGTATTACATGCTGCCCAAATCATCTGGTTACTCTGGACTTTAATTGTTAGTTGACTGCACATGGCAACAAAAATTGGAAATCCCATGTAGACAATTGCCTGTAAAATGGCAGGGGAGGCACAGATATAATAAGTATGTTATTTAAAGTCAGAAAATTTACATGTTTGACTCCAGACCAAGTGCTGGATTTGAGAAAGCTCTTCTGGATTGTGTAGTTTGGGGAAGGTTCCTTCATTTACAAAGCACTGGCAGTCTCTCATGGGAGCAATGCATCTGAGAATTGGCAATGGCTCAGCGCTTGAAGTATGCAGCTGCTCCAGCTGCATTGAAACGTTGCAAGACTGATTGGCCCTTGGTGATAACAGTTTGCATTTAGTTGGACCCTTAACATAATGAAACATCCCAAAGTACTTCACAGGGAACACAAAACAAAAGACAGCACCAAGTTACATTTGAGATGCCTGGACAGATGACCAAAATCTCAATCACAGGTAGGTAAAAGCAAAAAATGCTGGACATCTACAAAAATAATTCAACAGATGCAAACTCAACAGAATCTAAGACGTGGGGTGTGTGGAGAGAGACAGACAGAGAGATTTACCATTGAGCCCTGCATGTTTCTTCTTTGGAACTCCAAAGAACAACAGAGCTGCAGAGTCTCTCCAGTCTGTTACTTCTATTTTATAAAACTATTTTGCATAGTTTTTTTCTTGTATGTATAGGAATTACTGGAAAATCTTCAGACAATAAATAGGGTTTACCATATTACAGGTATTATCTCTTGACAAATTAGACAAAATGTTAGCAAATACATGCTAAAAATGTTGGAGTTAGATTAATTGGCAACTAGCCATTTTAGTCACAACTTGCTTCTGTTGGCTGCTGGCTTCACATAAAATACTCCCTCTTGAGCACAAGAAACTGCTAAGACTCCATTCTGCTTCCAGAGACGACCCTGTACCAGACCTCTGCAGTCACCTACAGACAAAGTAAGATCATGAGCTGTAAGATTTCTCTAAGATTACAAAAATAACCTGGTGCCACTATTATTAGAATTTCAAGCACCAAAAGACAAATTCCTCTGTCTCTTCACCATCCTATACTCTCCCAGAGGGAGCCCTGGAGGTCAGAAGGTATAGAATTTGTGTACTTATCTCGATCAAAATTTTTGGTTGCTAATATATCCACTATTTTGTACTCTGCACTATTTTCCTGTACGACATGCCACTGACATCAGAGATTAGGACAGGCCTCCCTGTGAATACCTTCATATAGTTGTCCTTGTGGCTCCCACAAGGAAAAGCTGAAAATCACAGCCACATCCAGACTGCACAGCAAACAGGTTGGACAAATTCCTGCTCTAGTCTATTTCCAAGGAGCAATTGCTGGGAGAAGCAAAAGTAATGCTCAGCCTTCAATCTATGTGGCAAAGGAATCATCCAGCCTCTGTGTAGCACTTGTCTCAGCTAGATAATCTCCTGCCACTGCACTGCAAGAGAAAGTCACCGTCACTAATGTCATTGCTGTGTACCGATTTTTGCTGCCTCACTCCTTAATGCCCCCCCTTGTCACTTCACCCCTGACATAGGTCAATGAGGCTTAAGGGCTGGATGCAAGATGGTGAGATGAGAGGCAAATTGGGTGGTGAGCAAAACACCATGTGAGGCAGAGTGAGGCAGCAATCAACCAGCATGCAATGAAAATTAAAAATCTCACATTGAGGGCAACAACTGAAATAGTCATTTCTTTTTAAAATTGGATGGTGATAGAACTGTAGGTGAGATTAAAATTGGTAATGTGGGTAATTGAAGTAGCTGTTTTAAAAAAGAGATAATACAGACATTTCTACTGCACATTCAGTGGGCATGCCCTCAACAGTTGAAATGTCAGCAAATGCAGCCTTTCTTAACAGCATCGTTAAGGAAGATTAAGAACTAATCCTGTAAAGGAACTGAGTGTGCAAAGCTGGTCTCAATACACTAAAGTTGGTAATGTTCTTGCACACGTGGAGCGCATTCACTGCTATTTTACACCCACCCCCTAGAAGATTATTTTGATAAACTTTAAGTAGTTAATGAATCATTCCTGTCCAGCTCTGTGAAAATGAAATGATAAAATAAAACGTGGAAACTCACCAGACCAAGGACTCTCACATTCGTATAACATCCACTCGTCAGACCGGAATGGGGCATGAAACCACATGGAGTGGTCCAGGGATGCCATGAACTTTACCCTATAGTTCACATGAGGCAGTAACGCAGTTGCCAGGAAGGAATAGTCGGAAATGTAGGCAGCAACGCAACAATGCAATTTCATGTTCCCATCACCTGTTAAACAGTTAAAACAACTATGTATTTTTGTATCAGTGAGTTGGCTTTTTAGAAAGCATACAAAGTAGAAACAGTTTGCACTTAAACAGAATCTTTCACATGCTCACAGTACTAAACAACCAACTACGTTTCAAAAGCTTGTTCTGTAGGCAAAGATGGAAGTCAATTTACGCAGCACAATCCCACAAGCAAAGAGAAGAATAATAGTTAAATTGTTACCTTGGTTTTGGTTGAGGGAAGAAAGTCAGCCCGAACAGGAGGAGAACTCTTGAGCTCTTGTTCAAAAGAATCTTTGGGATCTTTAACATTCAGCTGAGCACCCTTTATTGATGATCAAGATTAAACTGATGGAGCGGTACTCGGCTGGGTTGGATTTATCCTGCTTTTTGTGTAGAAGGCATACCTGGACAATACTGTCACGTAGATAGTGGTGTTGAGACTGTACTGGAACAGCTTAGCTGAGGGTGCCAGAATGTTACCAGAGTCCACTACCTTTGTGGTATCCAGTGTCCAACCCTTTCTTGAAATCACATGGAGTAAATCAGAATTGGTTGAAGACTGGCATTTATGATGCTGGGGGCTGCAGAAGACAGAGGTACATCACCACTTGACACTTGTGGCTGAAGATTGCTGCAAATGCTTCAGCCTTACTTTTTGCACGTATGTGCTGGATTTCCCATCATTGAGGATGGGAATATTAGTGGAGCTGTGTCTAGTAGTTAGTTAATTGTCCAAATCTATCCATGACTGATGTGGTAGGACTGTTAGAACAATCCTGTCTATCTGACCGCTCATGCTGTTTGCTTTGCAATGAGTGTTTAAAAAAGTTTATTGTTTTCATTTTGAGTTCTGTTCACAGTGGATATTGGGTTGGTGGCTCCAACAGTAGCTATGAGTGAGCACAAAAGCAGCTTTGAGGATTGATGGATTGTGGGCCTGACATTTGTCATTAAAACATGGCCTGTTGTCACAGCAAACACAGGCTGATGTTGCAGTCTGCCAGCCTCCCACTTCGTCCATTTCCATTGTTACCTTAGAGCTACCTCTGAAACGTATGGCCAAGGTCTCTCTCTCTCTCTCTCTCTCTCTCTCTCACACACACACACACACACACCTCCCTGCTGCCTCAAAAACACAATGCTATGGCTGGCAGGCTTTTTTGTTTGGAAGGTGGTGGTGAACCTGCGGGATCCCAACTCAACCCTCACACCTTTACCACAAACATCTAGCTCGAACTCTCAACTTAACATCTCATTTAAAAATGAAGCTGCTCCACCAATGTACCACTCCTTCACTATCCCAGTGACCAACTTGAATTACACACAAATCTCTGGTTTGCGATTTGAGATATGCTACGTGCCTAAGGTGAGACAATATTATTCCAAACAGGCAACAAATCTAATGCAGTCACTGTAACTGTGCAACTCTGAGGAATGCAAATTGATAGTTCTAACCTATTCCGACAAAGAAGAAAAGAGAGGATCATTTGATCCACAGTGCCTACTCTACCTCTTTGGTTGAATTGTCTAATTAGTGTCACTCCCATGCTCTTTCCCCACAGCACTTTTGTTTTGTCCCCTTCAAGCATTTATCCAATTCTCTTTCCAAAGCTGTTGTTACAGAGTCTGCATTCATGTGCCTTACGGAGAGCACAAGTGTTTCAAAAATGCAGTACCACCTTCACAACTACCTCAAGGTAAACCTGCTCAAAATCAGAGCACCTCATTTGCAAGACAGTGCGCAAATCACAAGGTGCTTTTCTAGACATTGTTGTCTTACCCATGGGATAGGATTTTTGGGAGCACCAGCATGGCCAATGTTTAATATATCCCAGTCATGTCACAACAGCACTGCCTGGAACTCAATTGTTCCCAACGCCTCACAAAACAATGCACATTCTGGTTGGCCAATTTTGTCTCAAAGGGGAGCACATTTATCCCTTCCCCTTTTCTACTTGCATTCAGTTTCTCTGAGGCACCATACTTGTTTATATTTAAAACCACTTTAGTGTAATTTCAATTCCAAAAGATAAAAGATTTCACAAACACTATTTTTTTACTATTCACTCATGTGATGTGGCTAGGCCAGCATGTGTGCTGAGCTTTTATAGATACATATCTCCAGATTTCTGCTGCTACCTGCCCTTTAAAATTGTACAATTTAGTTTATGTTGCCTCTCCTTATGGTTTTTTATCACAATGTATCACTTTGCAATCTCTGCACAAATCAGTCATCCTACTGTCTATCAGAGATAGCAAGAACTGCAGATGCCAGAGTCAGAGACAACACAGTATGGAGCTGGAGGAACACAGCAGGCCAGGCAGCAGAGAAGCAGGGAAGTTGATATTTTGGGTTGGGACCCTTTTTCAGAAATGGGGAGGGGGAAGGGAGCTGGGAAATAAAGAGAGAGGAGGGGTGGGGCTGTGGAAGATGACGTTTCACTCAATTCTGAAGGGTCCCGACCCAAAATATCAACTTTCCTGCTCCTCTGATGCCACCTGGCCTGCTGTGTTCCTCCAGCTCCATACTGTGTTGTCTCATCCTATAGTCTATTACTGATTTTCAATGTTCTGTTCCATTTTCAACCTTTGAAATTATCTCCAAGCTCAGGTTATTAACCGATGTCAAAATGAACAATGATACTAATACCATCTCTGAGTGAGCATTACAATGTGCTTCCCTCAAATTTGAAAAATAACCAATTGCAATTACAAGGATGTTGCTAGGATTGGAGAGTTTGAGCAGTCGGGACAAGCTGAACAGTCTGGGGCTATTTTCCAGAGAGTAGGAGGCTGAGGAGTGATCTTTTGGAAGGTTCTAAAATCATTAAGGACAAGGATAGTCTGAATAGCCAAGGTCTTTTTCTCAGGGTAAGGGCGTCCAAAACCAAATGACATAGGTTTAAGATTTAAAAAGGACCCGATGGACAACATTTTCACACAGAGCGTGGTGCGTGTATAGAATGAACTGTCAGAGGAAGTGGTGGAGGCTGGTACAACATTTAAAAGGCATCTGGCTGCGTACATGAATAGGAAGGATTTAGAGGGATATGGGCCAAATGCTGGCAAACAGGACTAGATCAATTTAAGATAACTGGTCGGCATGGACGATTGGACCGAAGGGTCTGTTTCTGTGCTGTATGACTCTATAACACTGTTCCTTAATCAATTCTGCATCCATTCCTTTAATTGCAGGAGTTTTTTTTTGCCAATACTATGCAATTACTTATTGCAGTAATCAAAACACTGGCTAAATTCATAAACTTACAACATCAAGCTGTTCTATCCAGAGCACTAAAGTTACAGTACTTAGTTTGCACAAGCATTCACTAGTAAAACAATAGCACCCCCTCTTGGCAAAATCCATCCAGAAATTGTCATATAGCACTGCACAGTATAAGTTCAGATTTCTCATTGTCACAAGTAGATTTCATCCCAGCCTTTCCACAGACCAAGGACAAAGTCAAGTATATTTTGATAAAGTCCCCCACAAGAGACTAGTTTAAAAAAAACTAAAAGCACACAGGTGAGGAGATGTTACACTGGCATCGATTAACAATGAGCTAACAGACGGAAGCAATAGGAATAAATGGGGCACTCCCTCATTGGCAGGTTGCGACTAGTGGGTTACTGCAAGTATCAATACTTGGGCCCCAGCTGTTCACAATTTATTTCAATGACTTGAATCTGAGGACTAAAGGGGTTGTGAAGACGATTCAAAACATTTCAGAAGAATTTGGACAGGCTTAATGACTGGGCTAGAACATGGCAGGTGGAATATAACGTGGAAAGAAAATGAGAGATTATCCAGTTTAGTGGAAGAGAAACAATGGTAAGAAGTTGAAAAGTTTAAGGGACCTAGGTGTCCTCATCAGTAAAGTCAATGAAAGCTTACAGGTAAGTGCAGCAAGCTATTAGGAAGGCTATGGAATATTAGCCTTTATTGAAAGAGGATATGAGTACAGCAGCATTGCATCTTGCCTTAATTTTTCAGTAGTTTGACTAGACCGCACCTGGAGTACTATGTGCAGTTTTAGTCACCTTATCCCAAGTAAGATATCATTGCACTCCCTCAATTACATTTAAGGTTCACCAAACTTGTTCCCAGATAGTAGGAGACAATTTGCGCAAACTGGGCCTGTATTCTCTAGAGAATTTGAAGAATGCCGGTGACCTCACCGAAACCTACCAAATATTTAGAAGGGATAGACAGAGTAGATAGTGTTTTCTCTCCGGGTGGGGCGGGTGGGGCGGGTGGGGCGGGCATCTAAAATCCACAGGCAAAATATAAAAAGGGAATGCCACTTAGGTCCGAGATGAAGAGAAATTTTTTACTCAGTGTTGTGAATCTTTGCAATTCTCTGCCAGCGGGGGCTGTGGAAGCTCAGTTTGAGTAGGTTTACAGTACAGATTGATAGATTTCTGATTACCAGTGGCACACAGGGGTATGGGAATGGTGTCTGTAAAAGGCATTGAACTGTTCAATCAGGGACAATCATACTGAATGGTGAGATAGACTTAACAGACTGAATGTCTTACTCTGGTTCCTAAGTCAATAGTGGTAGTGCGGTGATCTCAGAGACAGGCAGGAGGCCCAGTGATCAGAATGCCTCATGAACGAGTAATATGGATTGCCAGAGGGGAAATGCTGACTCAACAGACACATCAGTTAAGACATTGAACCAACTGGTCTAAGAAGAAAGAAAATTCTATGTAGATACACAGAGGTGATCCTCAAACTTAGTCAAGACAGTTTCCATATGACAATAGTTTAAGTGGATCAGTAATGAGAAGCAGACTGATTTACTACAAGAGAATCGGAGTGATGATTAAATCATGGATTCTGACTGTATTCGGTTTTTCAATGCTGTATAATTTTCATGATACCGCTTCATGCCCTGCCTCATCGTTGATGATTTTCATTAACTGCACCTCGTACAGATGGACTTCATGTTACAGCGAGAAGCATCACACAATCTCACCATCTGATTTTCACTCAAATTTGGTGTCCAGCAAATTAGACTTTTTACAAACAACTTGAATATAAGCACATTTTAAAAGAAAAAGAAGTCCATTTTACCCTTCCAACTCATGCAAGCAGAAAACATTTTGAAAGTAAATTCTGAATCCTACCTATGTAGCCACGTGCTCGAACCCAAAACCTCTGTACAGGCTCCACGGGTACACATCTGTAGTAATCTGGTGGATTTATGGGTTTGATTTCAATTGGAACCTCTTCAGCTAACATTTTCGTCAGACCCATTTTATAATTTTCTGTTAAATCTGGATCTCTAAAAATGAGGAAAACAAATCAAAACAAAGGGAACAACGCGGTCACAAGACATTCCTAAAATAAGGAGGAACATGATGGGAAGTCATTCAGTTTGCACTGCTTTCATCAAAAAAAAATCTACAAAATGCAAATCTATTAACAGTAGAGCAGCACAATAATTGGTTTAACTTACAATACTTAATGGCACTGGCCCTGATTCAGTCGCAGCATCTTCAAGTCAGAAAGTTGTTGATTCAAGCCTAAATCTAGAAATAAGCAAATAACCTATGCTAATAAATCAGTTCAGAGTGACTGAGCGATGTGTTGCTGGTTGGAGATTTTCCTGACTGATGTGAAATCAGAGTCCACTTTGTTCTCTCAGTGAACACACATGGCACTTTTTGAAATGCAAGCCATTCTCCTAATGGCATGGCTAACAATACTCTTCAGATACCAAGAATCAAAAAATCCCATCATTTACTGACCAAACCCCATCCCAACTCCCTACCTACACTCACCTTTACTGGCTCCATCCCCGCCTCCTTGACCTGTCCGTCTTCTCTCCACCTATCTGCTCCTTTATCCACTTTCCATCATCGTCTCCCCCTCTCTCTACTTATTTCAGAGTCCTCTTTGCCTCCTCTATTTCTGAAGAAGGGTCCAGACCCCAAACATCAGCTTTCCTGCTTGTCTGATGCTGCCTGGCCTGCTGTGTTCATCCAGCTCTACACCTTGTTATCTTAGACTCCAGCCTTGGCAGTTCCTACTATCCCACCATTTACTTGTTGCTTTTGTGATTGAGCTGCATTTATACAGCAACTTGGCATATATTTCCAGTGTTCCAAAACACTTCACATTCTGCGGATTACACTGCAATGCAGTATTTGTATTTGTGAATAACTATTATGATGCGTAACAAAACTTTTTTATAAGACATTCTTTGAAACAAATTAAAATGCCTTCCTAATAAACGGCGTCAATTTGCAGTAAGCTGGAACACTATATGAAAATACAACTATCACCAGTTCAAAAAATAACTACTTTAGAACAGTTTTACATACAGATAAAGATTTGGGAAGAGCTCGTAAAACGTTGTCTACTTGATATAAATTCCCTTTAAACCACTGTACTTTGGGCTGTACAAAGCACATTATAGATCTGACAGCACATTCTGAAATAATAATGCACATGCCTTATCTCAATTCTAGTCAACTACTATACCTCAAGTATTTTTCAATGAGTTCCTCTTGGGTCAATACATTTTCAGGGGCAGGAACCACCGGCATGGTAAACTGGTGCTGAATTGGGCTCTCCATTTTCTTCTGGAAAGAAGCCTGGCAAATTAGGATCGGGTGCCCATGCTGTATGGCTCTCACTGAACGAACAGAAAAGCTTTTACCGTCTCGGGTACGATACACTCTGTATACAACTGGCATATCGGGATCACCTGCAGTGAGATCAAAACACAATGCTAGGGGCTACGGCCACATTGTTTGATGCACTACAGTAAAATACAAGTGGTTCAAAAATGTCAACTCTCTTGACATAACTGATTTTTACACTTGGGTGCAATTTGTAGTGGATGGATTCACCAATATGTTTACAACTTGTCTCCTTTATGATTCTGTTAAAAATAGCAAATGAGGGAATGTTTGAGAGAACAGCCTCCATCTGAAATCCTAGCCTGTTCGCCCCTTTCAATTATCAATAGACTTGTTGTGCACTTCCAAAATCCGTTTTATTTTAAACATATGATGTTCCGTAACAAAGTCTTCATGTGCAATATGGGGCATTAGTAGTCATGATATTTCAGCACCACTTATTTACAGGTGAAAAGTGGTTAAAATTTTTTTTTTAGACTGGGCAAGGAAGGATAGGGCTTCTAACACCAGCACAGAAATACTCAAAGCTGATTTCAGTCTTGTAATACATACCACTTACAACAAATAAAAGGTTTAAAATAACCAATCACTTGTTTTGGATAGTACCTTTCAGATGACTGACAATTTCAATCACTAAATGACGTAGCTATCAAGTGCCAAGCGAAGATGGTGACATTTATATTTTCCCCATCCAGTGTTCTATGTTACAGTTTGCATGCAAATCCTAAATAATGTGAAAAGGAGACTTGAAGTTGAAACATTTCATCTTGCACGCATCATAATTAGGATGCAAAAAACAGACTCCATTTCATACAGCATGAGTATATTTGGCTGTAAGTGAGGGAAGGGAAAAAGGAAGAGCAATAGTGCTAGGGAATTCGTCAGTTACGGGAACAGATGAGCATTTGTAGCCTCTGATGTAACTCTAGGATGGGGATGGAATGCTGCCTCTCTGGTCAAGGATGCCACAGATCAGCTGCAGGATATCTGGGGGTGATAACCAGCCGGGCGGGCAGGATTGGGTTAAATTAGTCCTCCACTCAGAATTTAGGGAATCTGGTAGAAAATTAGCAAGTCAGACCTCAAATGTAGTCATCTCTGGACTACCCCCAATGCAACATGCAAGTGAATATAAAAATAGAATGATAAGTCAGATGAATGAGTGGCTACAAAGATCATTCAGGAGGGTGGGCTTTACATTCCTGCAACACTGGGACTGGTTCTGGGGAAAATGGCACCTGTACAAGCCAGAACAGAAATGGGACGTAGATAGTAGGAACTGTCAATGCTGGAGAATCTGATATAACAAGGTGTAGAGCTGGATGAATACAGCAGGCCTAGCAGCATCAGAGGAGCAGGAAAGCTGACATTTCGGGTCTAGACCCAAAATGTCAGCTTTCCTGCTCGGCCTGCTGTATTCATCCAGCTCTATACCTTGTTATATCAGAAATGGGACGTAGTTCCTTGTGGAACGTTTGCTAGTGCTTTGGGAAGGCTTTAAATTAACTTGACAGGAGTGTAGAAACCAAGGAAGAATATTAAAGAGTACTAGAGTTCAGAAAATGCTTGGACAGACAGATAACACCAGTAGAGAATAGTAAATTAATTGGAGAAGTCAGAGTTAGAACAGCACTTACCCTGAGCATCAGGTAACTTTGCTAAAACAAAAATGTATTAACCATTTCCAAAACCTTTGTTTTTAGAACAGTCTTTTTCCCATTTCAGTCCACAATCAAAAACTTACAAAATTAAACTGATCTACAAAATCAAAAAACTTTGGAATCTGAATTTCAATGAAGAAGTGAACTAAAGTGCAAATCTCTCTCTTCATGGCACCAATATATGAAATAGGCCATTGCTCACATTAGAAGAAGGTAACATCTGTATAAATGATCTGCATATCTGTTCAAAAAGAATTTTCATATAAATGTAGCCAATTAGGGGGCTGAATTTCTGATGCAACATAAATTGCTACAAAAACTGAAGCTCAAGAGGAAACAAAACCAAGCAGTGCAAAAATTTACATCTTACCTGCTCGAACAAAGTAACAGTGCAATGAATGAGCAAAAACATTCTCGGGTACAGACATTGCAGCAGCTACCAGTGCCTGACCAACAATCTGTCCACCAAATAACATGCGACTCTTCGGGATCCAGTGGTGTGTTCCTCTTTAAGAAAAAGATGCTATGTATGTGATTCAATCAGAATTTTAAATATAAAATAATGAAACAACTTTTGGCTTTTGAAAAGATCATGGCAGACCACGATTTACAATGTTCACCACAAACACATTATTTTGTGGTAATAAGGATATTTCCACAAGCTACCTTTTTAAAAAAAATTTGGGCAATTCAATCATAGCTTAAATTGCATCAGACTTCAGGCCCCAACAGTTTGATTCACAGCCCAGTTCAAAACGAAGTGTGAAAAATCTACATCAATTTCAGTTGTATTTTTCTCTATCAGATTTTTCATTTTCATTCACCACTGATTTTAATTTTTTTTCAGCTTCCTCAGTTTATAAAGTTATTCTCATTTTTAATAACCGTTATCATTGAAAACCTCATCTGCCTGACTTGACTTGCGTTTTTCTTCACCCTGCATTCCTTTAAACCTCAGCGTTGATGGGGTGCCTGATGTTTGAGCAGCTCAAGACCTCTGTGACATTTGCCCAGGTATCCATCCTGGAGAGGCACTTTAGTTGCACTGACAGGAAGCTACCAAGGTACAAAGGCATCCTATCAACTCATAGGATGAAATGCTACCAGAGAAGCACCAGTCCAACTTCCAATGTGTTTCACTGGTTATTTTTTGAAAACATCAGTTTCTTTGCAGGTGATTTGGCAACTCAGTAAAAAATGTACCCAAGAATTCCAATGCCTCTACTTATAGAGGACAATTATGGTTTGACAAATTGAACCATAACTTGTTCAATTTATCCTACTTCATAATTTGCCTTATCCGACTATATTGTTTGCCTTAATCAGGTGTGAACCAATGTCCGCAGAGTTAATAATAGGCAGTGTCCTATCAAAAGCCATTGACTACAAAATTGCTGAAAACAGCAAGATAAAAAATACTGCCTAATTCCTTCTATTAAAAATGTAATTTCCCAATTCTGGCACACGTAACTTAGGTCAACAACTCTCAAGTCATGGATAAACCAACAGAATCAGAGTTAACAAGGTGTAGAGCTGAATGAACACAGCAGGCCAAGCAGCATCATAGGAGCAGGAAGGCTGACGTTTCGGGCCTAGACCCTTCATCAGAAAGTTTTGCTGCT